AGGGCTGATTTTTAGCATTCAGCAAACAGCTAGTTTGCAGTATTCAGCTCACAAAATGCAGGTTGCTAGCAAGCACCTCGGATGATCTCTTAGCAGAAAATTAACCTCATTCCTCAGCAAGCCTCGCTCCCTTGCCTGTGCCAAGCATCAGATCTCAATCAAAACCTAGGAGGGGCAGAGAATCTGTGGCAGGGGATCCTTGTGGAACTCTGTCTGTTGGGGTGGATCTGTCTCGGCTTCCCAGCCGCACACACTGCCTGCGTTACAGCCGCTGCCATATTGACAGCAGCAGCGACGCTGGGAGCTGGGAGGGCTCCAAGGCTGCACAGAGCAGCTCTGTGTCAACTCCAATCCTTTCTGCCTCCCTGCTCCACACTAACAGCATCCTCTCCAACGCACACACAGAGGCACGACGCGCTTCTCTACATGGAGCTGCTCCTGGGCATGGCAGCGTGGTTCCTCGGAGAACAATTACGAAATTGTAATAAAGTGCTTTAAAGGGGAAATTCTTCTCTTTGATTCCTGTCTGCCCCTCTCAGCCTGGAGCCTCCCACCCTGCTTTGCTGTTGGTTTTTTGTGTCCTACCTGCCTGGAGGAACTGGGGAGGGAGCGTGGAGCACAGGCAGGGGCCAGGAGCCATCTCGCAGCGGAAGCATCTGTTCTGCCACGGCAATCGTGATGCCCGAGAGCCACAAGCATGTCCAGGAGACACTCTTATCATTGACACAGGAGAGAATTTAAATAGCTGCCATGCTCTCGAGCTAAGCCAGAGACAGAACTGTAGATCATACTTTATGTAACTCATTTTTATTTTTAAACATATTCTTTCATTTTCAAGGGGAATTTGACTCGGTGGGTGTCTCCTATCTCCTTGTTAGCACATGTGAGGTGGCTTCTTTGATCAACCCACCATCCAGTATATCAGCTGCTTGATTTCCTCACCCGTACCTGAAACTCAAGCTCCCCTTATTTCACCTTTCAGGATTTCCTCCTGCCTGGGCTGGTGTGGAGAATGATTTGAGGTTTAAGGTGAATGGATAAATTAACCCCTTGAAAGCATTCTGAGCTGCATCTCTGGATATTTCGTAGTGCTGTTGGAGATCTTTTTTAAAAGAGGGATCTGTTCTGATGGCTCTTCACAAGTGAGAGAAGTGTGTGGTTTGTTTTGCAGTTTAGCAAGGGATCTGTGTAACTCCTAATTCCTTCCTTCCAAGGAAGTCACCTTGTGCTGGACACTCAGACAAGCCATCAGGCAGCCTTGGCACAGTGAGCAGAGTTGGTTGTCAGTTACTAATGATTTCTTTCCAGCTTTAAGTGCAAACAGGGGTGGAGAACAGAAAGCTCTGAAGATAAATTAATTACTGATTTGAATTCCCTTGGGGTTGGGCCCAATATAGGTACCAGTCTGGATTCTGGATAAATTCTGAATGAACATGGAGGAGATCAAATGACGCTTCATGTCACAAGAGAGTTGCTCAGAGTGTAACTCCAGGTCAAGGGTGGTTGTTCCTTCCAGTTCTCCAGTAAAAGCTCCCTTGGAATACAGCAGAAGGGGACTGTGGCTGCAGGTTTGTCATTGAGCTAAAGCTAAAGACAGGCTTTGCAGGTTTGCAGCATGCAGCCCACTTGAATTCCCAAAGCCAGGACTACTGTAGGAGGCAGCTGCCCTTGTGTAACCAGCAATTTGCAGTCACAGAGCCTACATGGAATTACAGAATGGTTTGGATTGGAAGGGACTTTAAAGCTCATCTGGTTCCAAGACCCTGCCATGGGCAGGGACACCTTCCATTACACCAGATTGATGAGCATCTTCTGGAGAGATCTCAGAGGCAACAGGATAGTTTCCTTGGCACTATAGAAAATCCTCTTGGACTAGGAGGTTGTGAAAGCACACCCCTCGAACGAGCTCCTTGCAGCACTGCACCAGAAAGGAGAGACGCTGCCATGGACCCAACAAAAGTTGCAAAGTAAGAGCAAACACAACCCAAAGAAGCTCAAAGCCCTTGTGGCAGGGGTCACTGCAAATATGACAAGGCTACGAAGTCGAAAATGAGAAGTGGAAGCGACAGCGGCAGGCTCAGCGTGATGTCTCGTTAAACAAAAAATAATGGCATTCCAGAGCAGCAGCAGACCCCTGAGGACACAGAACAAGAGTGAGAAGATAGGGAGAAGTCTGCTTAAATGTCAAGGTGAAGGGGTTTATTTGAGGCAAACCCATAGCCAAGTAAATGAGCCAGTCAGTGTAGACATCCTCTGATCTTCCAGCTCGCAGAAGGGTTGCCAGCCCCAGGAATTGCCATCGTGTACCTGGAGAGGCAAAAGCCATACGACCACTAGCCAGAGCTGCCTTCCTGGTCCTGCTGGATGTGTCAGGACAGCTGTGCTGGAAGGCAGAGATATCTTCAGGCCACATAATCATATCTCTCATTTGAGTGGCAGAAACGGGCATCAATTGAAGCTGGCGGAGCCGTTTGGTCTGGAAGAAGTTTTTGGGTAAAAACCATTTGAGTGATGACCAATGGTCAAAACACATGGAATAGGTGGGGAGGCACTGAAAACAATAGTGAGGGTGGAAAGAACCCTGGGGAGGGAGAAGATTAATGTCCAGAGAACATGGTGGCAAATTCCCTTCCTTCTCCCCCAGGGACAGCCAACATTCCCAGTGCTGCACGTGTTCACTGCTTGTGTGTTTGCTGTCAGCAGGTCAGGAGGAAATTGCTTTGGAGTAATTTTTGGTGAGATTTAAAATTTTGGATGGGATTCAAGACTAATATCAAAATGAGGTTTTTTTATTAAAAGCATTTAAATAGAAGCTACAGAGTAGTCAGAAGCAGGAGGGCTATTTTAGAAGGCATTTGCTATAAACCTACTGCTCAGAAGCTTTCTAAAATATTACACTATAAAAACCCCATAATTCTCTTTATCTGCAATTTAATTACATTCCCCATAGTGCCTATGTCAGAACAGTTCACTTATTCTTGTTCTCTATTAACTCACACCTGCCCCAGGAGATTTTTAGAAGAAAAAAATGATGATATTCACAGTCATTTATGTTGCTCAGGATCTCACTGAGGTCACATAAAGGTTCTAATGATATACTAGAAAAACAGGAATTTGGGGGACTCATACTGGTGATGGCTGTGAGATTGCAGTATATAAAACTGGTGTAAAAGCAGGGGGAGGAATGGGAGCACTTTTGTGATCCATCGACCTATCCCATCCAGAATTAGCGGATCAAAGTTTTTGATCTGTTTGGGACTGCAGCAAAGTATCAAAGTATCTGAATAATGGACCAGAATTATCCAGAGCTTTGTTGATTGACCATTTTGCTGACCTCCTCCACCCCACGATATCTGTGGTGTAAATGAGCTCTGAGGGATGTCCTGGAAGTATTATAAAAACATTGTCACTTGTGACACCCTGCGGTGCCCAGAGAGAACCTGGGAGCGTGGAAATAATGTATTAAAACAAAAATGACGTGTTAGAAGTTAAACCCTCGGTGATGTTTTGTTAAATTTGGCTTGGGTTTGGGGCAAGGGCTGCAGCTGACTGTTATTTAACTTGAGCAAACCAGCCTGTGGGAGCAGAGGCATAAGACGAACCTCAACCTTTGACTGTGGTTTAGAGGAGATTTTGCCAGCCACAGCATTTCTTCAGTGCTTGTCTTCTGATAACTGGAGACATGATTAATCCCAGTCAGGAACAACCTGGGGTTTGACATGGGAGGTTGAGAACAAGACAAATATTTCCTTGCCACATTGAGCTGTCAAGGAGGGGATCCAAGCTGATGGAGACTTGAGACCATTGCTGCAGTGCTGCTGATCCCTGTGTTTTTGTAGGAGGTTTTGCAGGACTCTGTCTCTCCCCAGGGATGGTGCTTGGTGATAATGTGCTATCTCAAGCCATGCTTCCTGCTTGTAGCACCAGGATGCCAAGGTCAGCAGTGTTTTAGCAGAGAGGAAGGTGACTACAAATTTCCAGCAAAAAGGCTTATTTAACTGCAGAAGTCTTTTTTTAAAATTTAGTTTTATTTTTTTTAGTCAGTCAACTTTATCAGGATCAAAAAAGCAATGGATATCCCATGGCTTGAGCTCCCATTGAGCCAGTGACCCCCCTAAGTGCCTGGGCAGCCCTTGTGACACCCAGATGTTGTCACCAATGGTGGAGCTGAGCCCAGAGCTGGGGGGCTGTGCTGCAGCCCCCTCCCTGTCCGTGCCCTGGGTTAGGTTGTTGTTAGAGTCACTGGGGTGCACTGGGCATCCCACACACATCCCCTGGAGGATGGAGGCAGGTGCAGGACAAAAAAAAAGGGATTGGAGCTTATAGGGTGGGGTGGAGGGCACTGAGGGAGGTTGCAGGGAACAAGTAGGACTGCACAGACCAGCTGAGACAAGGGGTCTGTCACATCACTGGCTGGCTAGGTGGATTTTTCCTTCTGTCATCCCATGCCCAGCAATAAGGTCCTCCTTTGCCTTGTGCCAAAATCTTATTTGGCCCTGCTGACACCTGGGCTCCTTAATTAAACTCTCCCACCCCTTCTGTCTGTGGCAACTCCTGGTGATCTGCGACCCGAGAGAGCGGCAACCTCCCCAAAACCTCTGAGGAGCCGATTAAAACGATGCAGGCGGGTGCTTTCTTCCGACATACCGAGGGTGACAACAGCGAGCGCTCTGGCAGGCATCCCCCCTCCCCGCCCCCAGATGCTCCCCGCCAGCCTCTGGCATCCGCCGCCCGTGCGCGGCGGGCCCCCATCCCCGCGGGGGGACAGGCTGGGGCTCTGCTGCCAGGTGGGTGAGGCGGGGATGCGGCGGAGCGGGAGGATGCGGGGGGCTCCTCGGCAGAGCCGCAGCTGAGCGCTGCGAGCCGGCTGCGCAGCCGGGCTGGGGCTGCCGGAGGGTTTGGCTGGATGGGAGAGCGGCTCTGAGCGGCGCGGCTGCTGCTGCTGCTGCTGCCCGGAGAGAGGTGGGGAGGGGAGGGGTGTCGAGGTGTGACTCTCGCCCCGGGCAGGGGGCTGTCTCTGAAGAAGACGCTCTGCTCTCTCCCCAGAGCCTCTCTGACCACGCTGTCGGCACAGACCCACCGGCAGGGAGGACAGGTCAAAGGCAGTGAGTATCTTTATCTCTGTGTCCGTCTGTCCGCAGTGCCTCTGTGCTCGTTTTTTTCCTGGCTTTCTCTGCATGTGAACGGATGGATGGTCTTAATCTCCTGAAGCCCCTGAGATTTCACGGTTTGGGTTTGTTGTTTTTATTTTTTTAACCTTTGTGCTGCTATTTTTTTTTCTACTGGGATGGCTTCTTTATCTTTGCTCAGGTGGTTTGACAACCTGAATGTCCTAATCACACCCCTCCCTTTCTGTCTCCCAAGGAGAAACCCCCAAAACACATCCATGATGAGACTGGCAATTCTCCTTGACCGGGGTCCTTTCATAGGAGGGGTAGGTAGGATGAATGATGGAGCGGGAGGTAAAATCCCTCACCAGGACCCCTACTGCAGTGCCAGACACCACAGATTATAATTTAAAGTAATACCTCGCTGGCTTTATTTGCAATCAGAGGAAATATCCGTGGGTATGTCAGCTGAGCAGTGGGATTGCCTTCATGGGAAATGTAGGTCTCAGCATCCGTGAAGTCAGACAGACTTTGGGATTGCAGGGAAGTTGGGTGCTGCTCAGCAGTGCAGGTGGTTGCTGTGGGGGCTGGCGAGTGGGTGGGAGTGGGGGTGAGCAGAAGGCTGTTTCATAACAGTACCCCAAAAATCGGGCTGCTAAAGGAGGCTGCAAGGGAGAGGGCACCCGGTTCTGCTTCCAGCTGTCGATTTGGAGCAGCAGTGGGAAAGAGGAGCAAGGGTTGCTGGACTCTAGGAAACTGTGTGCTGTGGCCCCACATGCGGGTGAGGCTGTTAATGAGGAAATTTAAAGGGGCTTAAGGAATTACAAGGATTGATTTCAGTTAAAGCACATCGAGGCAGCCGGTCAGGGTAGGGATTAAGGGAATGTACTCAGTGGCATGTAGCACAATCCCAGTTCCATTAATTTAGTGGGGAAGAGGCTTTGTGCGTTTTTAATGTAATCAGGTTTTAAGAGGGATGCTGTGTTGGGCAGCCCAAGCTCCGGGATCTCCCCGGCCCCAGCAGAGCAGGGTCCTGACTCCTTGCACACCCTCCCCGCTCTCATCAGTTCCTTTGTCTCCTCCTCAGTTGTTCCCAGTGGGCAGGAGGGCATGATATGGAAGTTACCTGGAGCTTGGCCCTGTCCTGACAAATCAGAAGCCTTTACCCTGTGCTCACTGTGCAGTCCTGCTCTCTGTCCCCTTTGTGTCCTGGCTGGTGGATCTCACCTTCACTCTCTGTGAGATTTGTTCAACCAGTTGCCTGTGTGCCAAGGCTTATGGAAACCCTGCCATCCCCAGTCTCCCTCTCTCCCTTCCTCCTTCCCTCCCCTTTGCAGGCTGTGCATCTCCTTGTTGGCTCCCCACAGGCTCCCACCAGCCCAAAGAGGAGTCGCTTGCCTTGAGTCATTTTTGTGTGAGTGCTTGAGCCTGTGATGGTGAAAGGACCAGCACCTGCAGATGCGTGAAGTCCTCCTGTTATTTTATTTGCAGTGCCAGCTTTTCCATGATGCCTGGCCAGTAACACCAGCCATGACCTGGAGGGACAGGGACAAGAGGTAGTTTGGCCTTCTTAGCGAGGTCAGCCCGGAGCTCTGCCCATTGAGGAGAGACCTTCAAAGGTGTTGAATGATGAGTGCAATAATGCCAACTCCTGCTGCTCCGTGGTGAGCTGTGACGCCAAACTCAAATCTCTTTAAACCTGAAGCTGGACTTAAACCCACGGTCCTGGTCTTAGAAGGAAATGCTGTCTCTCCTCTGTGATCATCCCTCAACTCCGAACATCTGCCATTGAAAAACTGACCTTCCGCGCTAAGAGGCGAGGATCAAATGGGTTGAGAACAACTGGCCCTCCTTGTTTTTGGCAAAGAGGATCCTTTGATATATTTTTAAGTGCCAGGACATGAGACAGTAAATCCCTCCTTCCTGCACTCCTGCCTCCTGCAAACAGCCCCAACTGCGGTCCAAGCCAGCCAGTTAAAGGGTTAACCATAACTGGATGCCTGAATGGCTGCCTTACTGATCCCACGGAGGTAACTGGAAAGACACAAAGCACCCCTCACCCCTGCCCATCCTGTCGCTGTCTATCTTGTCCAGCAAGCCCTTCAGCTTCTTCTAGCGTCTCCTCTTCCCTCCTGCCCTTCCCTTGCCTCTCCATCTCCTGCGGACCCAGTTTCTTTTCCTCTCTTCTCCTGTGTCCTGTCTTGGAAGTCCTCACCAAGAGAAGGGTGAGACAGACAAACTCCTTGCCCGTGGCGCAGCGTCTCTGCCCCCCATACACTCTGATTCCCTGCTGCAGTCCCTTGATCTCAGGCATCAGAGGGAATTCTGAGCAGCACTGCGGTAATGTGTGTCACACCTCTTGCTGGGAAATTCGTGAGCTTGCTAGAGCAAACAGAGAAAGGTTGGGGGTAGGAGGCATCAGGAAAGGTACCAGGAGGATCCCCTAGGAGACTCGGTGTCTGTTTGAGCACAGCAGGTCCAGCATGCTCAGCTGGGAATGTGACACTCTCTGTGCTGATATCTGGTGTTTATGGAGCGCAGCATCCCGGGCCCATGGCCGTGGGTCCATAGTTGGAGGCTGTGCAACAATTCCTGCAAGTGAAGATCTCCTGGTTTTTGTGCCTGTTAAATGCTGCGAGCTGCCTGTGCTGCACCAGGGAGACACTCGGTGCATTTAATTAACATTTAATTTGCTTTAAGATTACATTAAAATGTGCAATAATAGAAGCTCTCCGAAGGGCGGGAGGAGAAGGGGGAAACAGGCACGCTACAGATTGGCTCAGGCACTGGTGCTGAAGTGTTCTGCAAGAATTACATATGGAAGGGAAAAAATCCTGTACTCCTGCAGCCACAGAAACTATTCGGCATCTGTTTGGCAGCTGGGCTTGGAGAAGGGCTTCCTCCAGCTCAAAAGTAGGTCCAACAGCTGAGAAGTGGAGACTGAGTCACTAAACCTTCCTCCCATGGTCCAGAGGAGAGAGTGGCCTGATTTGATTTCCAGGGAATCTGGTAGAAGAGATGCCCTTGGGTTGGAGAGGCAAGTCACAGGCTCTGCTCTCCTAGAGCCCATGTAAACCCGTTACCAGTCCCTGTGTGTTTTGGAGAGGAGATGGTGCCAGTCCCATAGGATGCATGTGTGTGTTCTGTTTGCCTCTCCCTTTGTGTTCCTCCCCATCCCGGGGTTATGTAATGAAGGATGCTGCGGCTGCTGTCCCGGGAAGGGGCTGGCAAGGACGCGAGGGGCTGGCGGAGGATCGAAGGCTCTGGGGCTGGTTTGAAATTCAGAGGAAAAAAAGCAATAAAGCCATTTTCTGCCTGGGTAAGCGTGTCAGGAAAGAGGCAGTTTTATCCTGCTTATGTAACCCTGAGCCTAAAGAAGCTGCTTGGGATCGATCCTGGCCAGGGACTCATGGCTCTGCAGCACAGGCTCACCTTGCAGGTGCCTTACTCCCACTCTTCTTCCTCCAGCCCCCTCCTGTCCTCCAGCCCTGGCATTTGTGCTGTTTGTGGTGCTTCTGGAACAGGGTGACTGATTTCTTGTATTGCTGCCCATTGCTCTCCTCCCACACCTGACCAGAGCAGAACTTTCCAAGAAACCATCCCAAAGTGTGCAGCCTTTAAAAGCCTTTTTGCCAGTCAGAGCAGCTGAATGACTGGTGTGGGTGAGCCTTCAGCTGCTCTGATGCTGTGTCCATCCTTGGCATCTGCCTGACATCTTACTGGAGATGTCTCAGGGTCACTCCCACGGATGAGGGAGTCAAGGACACAGGTCTGATGAGGCACAGTGTCACTGAGGTTTTTTTTGGGTTTGGTTTGGTTTTTTTTTTTGCCACTCTGGCTAGACTTATAATCATCATCTTCTTTGGTTTTCCCCTGCTAACACCCCTGCTCCCCCACATCGACCACAGGAACAGAGGGATGAGGACTCGCCTGGGCTGCCTGTCTCACAAATCAGACTCATATAATGATTTCACAGCTATTCTTCCGGACAAGCCCAACCGGGCTTTGAAGTGAGTATAGCTGCAGCATCCCACCCCAACCCCACTTCTGTCCTTCCCCTCACTGCCCACCACCCCCCTCCAGTATTGTCTTCCTTTTGTTGTACTTTGTATAAGCTGTGACCAGTTCTTTTAGCCACGGGGAAGGAGGACAACAAAACAGCACTGACACAGCAGGAACAGCCTCAGCAAATACCTGGATCATTGACACGAGTTCTCCCTTGAGACAGGACATGTGCAGAGTCTCCACTGCTGTATGTGGGACAGTCTACACCTACTTGAGGATGTAATTTACACCTCTGTCATCACAAACCGAAGCCTGAGTAGCTGGCTTGGTATAAGAGGTGACCTGCAATTTCAGGTCACAGTCACCTTCATCTGAGCCTTGCTATGAAGCACTGCCAAAATTTGGGTGATAGTTTGTACAGATGCTTCTGACCATCCAGAGTCCTGATTTGAGATGACTGGGATGGGACTCATCTGATCACAAGTCGCTGCTTATACCTGAGCTAAGATCTAATCTTCCCCTGAAAGGCAAGCGAGAGAAATAAACATTTCTGCAGCAGTGGGTTTCATTTTGCTTGACTTTTGGCGTTTACAATGTAAATGTCTGCACCTGAGCTTGTTCCCTGGGCCTCTGCTTAGAGTCAATAAGGGAAAATTGGTCCCTTTTCGAGTGTGATTCTTCTGGCTTACCTGCCTATCTTGGGGTGTGAGATGAACTGAGCTGAGTCTCTGCAAGTCCCTTAGTATCTCCTCACTGATTCTAAAGAAAACCCAGGGTCATTGGCTCACCTGGAGACCTGTACATTGTAGACCTCCAAAGACAGGTGAGAAGAATTTCAGCCTTTTTTGGTGTCCCCACCAAACAGCTCCAGAGGGGATCAGCAGCCATGGGTTGTCTGCAACTTGCCTCTTCCTTTTTTTTCAGAAGACTCTCAACAGAAGAAGCAACAAGATGGGCAGACTCTTTTGATGTCCTTTTGTCCCATAAATGTGAGTAGAGATCAAATTCTACACTTTTTTTTCCTTTTGTACCCTTAATACCTGTTGTAGTTAGGGCAAAGTATGTGTTGCATAGCAGGGGAAGGGTGCCTTGGACACCTGCTCACTACCCAGTGGTCACCATCCTTTCTAGGCAGGACTTGCCCTCTGCTTAAAAGGTTTTTGTGTGTTTCCTTCCTGGCTTTGCTACTTCCTGGAAACCCACAACAGCTAAAGTCATCAGCCTGAGCCTTCTCCAACCCCTAGGGGTGTACTGGAGGCAGGACCCCGAGGCTGCAACCCTGCAGATCATCCTTCAGCACGTGCCTCTGGGTGCAGCCTTTCCACCCAGGCACACAGCAGGTTCGCAGCTCACTAAATCCCCCCGAGATCCACGACTCCAGTTTGTTCCCCTCTCCCTGCAGCTGCTCTCTGAGCTGTGTGCAGGTGCAGCCTTTGCTGGGAGCACCACGACACAACACCCTGCCTGCTTCAGTAACCTTGAACAACTCGCTCTGCCGCAGAGAAATCATCCGTGGTCGCCCTGAGCAGAATCTAATTTACAGTTATCAATGCAGACCTGAAAATTTCCCATCCAGAAAACTCACGCCAACCTATCATCAGCCCACCTCGCTCTGTTCAACAGATCAATTGTATCAGTTCTGTTCAGCAAATATGATTCTGCTTTGCCAGCATTTTCATGCTGAGAAATGATAAACAAGAAAGAGAAGTTCGCAGTATGGGCTCATTCATGTGTTTCTATTGGAGAATAAAACCCAAGTGAGACAAGGTTGGGGAAAAGTCAATGTGGGCGGTGAACTGTTTCATTGCAATAAGGAGCTGTCTGGCTTGCTTAGAGGTTCAGGTTTTTCTGCACTTACATTTTAAAATACAAGTGTAGAATTATATTATTAAGCAAAGTGTAGTTTTGCTGGATTTCTACTGCGTTGACAACAGTTTTGGCAGGGAATTAAGTGACAACTTTGAACAGGCTGGCTGACCAAGGCAGAAAAAACAGTATATAATTTTAGCAGCAGTATCTAGTTGAGATCATTGCTCTTGCAGCCAATAGGAAAAAAAATATATTGTATAGCTGGGTATGGCTAAGAGGGAACCTTTCTTTTGTGGAAATTCAGAACAAGAAGAGGAGAAATGCACCAAAGAGACTATGAGATGCCTGGGGATGAAGAGGAGGAGGACAGGATATGCACATCACTGTTACCATCCTGAACTTGAGTCCCTGCTCCTCCCTCACCGATGTAAAACTTGAAATTCTCCTTATTAGATAGAGACTGCAGCAAAAATGCTTTGGTTACAAAACCCAGCAAATTTACCCATCTATGCCCTGACATTATACAATTCATTCCCTCTTTGGGTGACTACTGCAGATGCTGAATCAAACCTTAGTTCAATTATTTTGTCCAACAGCTTCCCCGAGAGTGTCTGGTTTTATTAATAAATTAGGCTTATAGAGTGATAAATGAATTATCAGGATTTTTCCTGTCTCTAGAACGGAAAGTAATTCTGATAACTCTCTGGCACTAATGAAAAATATTCAGTTCCTAATAGCAACAGAAGGTGATCTTTAAAATTTAAATTAATCTTTTTTTATCTACAGTCACGGTGACATTGCCTGGTGATTGGTGACAAAGAAATTTGTTGTTTAATAAACTACTTTCTAAAGGAATATATTATAACTGCTCCGCACCTGAAGCTTCTGGAATTGCCAGCCTGGCAACCAAGGGTTATAATGATGCAAATACAAAAAGCTCTGTTGCAACAGAAATGTTGTTTTAGTTACAGTGGTTTAAGGAGAGAAGAACATGTATTCAAAAAATTAATTATATTGTATGAGTTGCATTTTTGCTGTTAGAGGTGTGCTGATATTAGACAGGTAAGGGAGCCTTATGCCTTATCTGCCAAAATTTGGGAGTAAAAAAAAGCAGTACCTGGCCTGCTGGCATCTGCCTGTAGTGAAGCTGCCAGATAATATTCTGCTTTCAGTGCCAAGAAAAGGACAGAACTGTCTCCTAATTTCCCTGTGACTGCTCAGGTGAACAATATTAGCCAGGGAAAATTCATGCTTGGGGGCATGGGCTAAGCACCAGCTGGGCTCAGGGAGAATTTCCCCCGAGGCTCACAGCATCTGCAGGTAGATCACTTCTGCCTGACACATCTGTCATGAACTCTGTCTTCACTAGATGGACAGTTCATTTATTTTGGAAAGGAGATTGTGATACTGATTTCAGGGGGTTGTGTGGTGCTTTCTGCTGCAGTTACGGAGGTTTTGGGTCCCTTCCAGCCCTCCCGTTCTTTGGGGAAAATAAACCCTGGACTTCTCAAGCAGGACTCAGGAGCTGGATGTAGCAGCTGAAAACAGGGCAGACGTTGTGGGCAATATTGCAAGGGGTTGGACAGGTGGAAAAATAGCTCCAAGGAGCAAGAAAGTGGTTCAGAGCTCCCTAAAAGACTCTCCAAAATGCCAAGGTGAGCAGGCTGCCCTCGTATTCAGAGCAGGCATCACTTCTTCCCCTTCTTACTTTCATGAGTCTCCAGAAGGTTTCTAAATGGAAGTGACCTGAATAGGTTTCATGCATTATACAAACTCTACAGAGAGTGTCATTATGCCAGGCTGGGTGGGGATTTGAACAACCTGGTCTAGTGGAAGATGTCCCTGCCCACGGCAGGGGAGCTGGAATTAGATAATCTTTAAGGTCCCTTCCAACCCAAACCATTCTGTGATTTTATGCTCACTTTTGCCAAATACCTCTTGAAGTGTGATGGCCCCATGGAGCTCCCTGTTTCTCTCTCCCACATTGTTTTAATGGATGTTCTGTGTAGATAATGTTTGATCCTGACCTGTCGCTGTCTTGAGGCACCTTGGATTGAAAAACCCTGGGATTTGAAGCAGTTGCTTTTCTGCAGAGATTCCCAGGCTGGGTAATGCCCCTCTGCATAGAGTGGTCTGATTTGGATTAATTCCCCAGTCATTTAAAGGGTAATTTGTGTTGACATTTGCAAGAGATTGCGAGTAGGAAAGGCAGGAAGGCTCTCCCTGTTGCACCCCCACCTTCCTCTTGCACTGGCACTGGGATCCAGCATCCCTCATCCCTCCTGGAGTAAGCAGTGCTGAGCAGTGGGATGCAGCACAGCTCGGTTTCACTGGCAGCCCCAGATGGATAGGTCAGTGCAATGATATCCTAATTGCTTTTGCTAATGGGTAAAGCAAATCAACTTGAAACCCTGGGGTCAGCCAGACCTTTTTTACATCAGGAGCCTTGTCTGAGCTCACTGCCAGACGCAAGCACAGCACAGCATTGTTCCCTGGGGTCAGGGCTTCTGAGCAAGCAACAGGAGAGAGGAGTCTGATCCTACTCTTCTCAGGGAACTGAGAAAGTAAGAGACAGATTGCATGCAGTGTGTTTCCTTGGGTGCCCAGGGAGCAAAAGCAGTGGCTTTAAGCTTTAAAATGCTAGATTTTGGCATCTTTCCCTTTTTTGTGCCAGAGCAATGACTCCCAGGGAAGAGGAGCTCAGCGGGGTCCCCAGAGTGTGTGTGCATGCGTGTGAGTAACTGAGGAGTAATCCCCCCTCTGTACCCATGCCCAGGAGGTACAGCCTGGTCAGCCAGATGACGATTTCTTTTGACAGGCTGCTGGAGGGAAACACAAGCAATAGCATGTCTCATTCTGCATCCCTCACAGGGCTGGACACATGGCTTGTCCTTTGTCCAGAATCCAGCAGCACAGTCTGTCCTCCACCCTTATTCACTTTTCAACAAAGCATCTCACACCGAGAACCTTTGCATTGAATTTCCACTTTTATCTTAGGGGTGAATTCCCCCCGACTCCAGATTTTCTTGTGATCTCTGTGCTCTTCTGCCCAAACTTTATTGTTGTTCTCCTCCTTCTGTTGTCTACACATTCCTCCTCTTCCTACACAGCACAGGAATATCCCAACCTACTCTAGTTCTTTCTAAGCCAGAACAGCATTAGCATTAACATTGTGCTGGTGGCAGGCAGCTAAGATTAAACGAAGCACTGCTCAGCAGCAGCGAGAGCACGTACGTGTGCGACCTTGTCTCTCCAGCCCTGGACCCAACATGCTCCATGGAGCTAATCCGTTCACCCAGCAGCCACAGGGACTCTACCTTTACTCCCTACATGAAGTCTGCTGATGGAGTGAAATGTGGGCATTAAATTAATGGTTGTTGATTGCTTTTTTACTCTGACAGTGGCAGGTGCGTGGTTATTAAGCCTCCCTGCCTGAGTGATTTAGGCCACTAATCTCTGCCCTTCCTCACGCTGCTGAGGCTTGCCTTAGTTAAGACCTGCCTTGTGTTTCCTGCTGGCCACTTCAGTCCTTTCCTCCACAGCCCTTCTTGCTGGAAAGGATTCATTCCCTGTGTCCTGAAGAGCAATGTCTGAACAGGATTTTAGGAGCTCCTGAGTCCCTGCCCTCACATGGCCATCAAGCTGCCTGGCACTGCCCATTTATAAAACACAAACTCCTGTCACTGTCTGATTCACAGGTGACCTGCAAGGTCTTGGGATGGGGTAATGTGTGATCACTTGCACAGTCCTTCCTGGCAATCCTCTTGTATGTTCCTCAGTCTGTTTGAATGGAGAACAGGGCATTTTGAAGCTTGTTTTTACACTGCAAAAGTGAAAACTCAGATGCCTTTGGCTTCTGTCTCAGACTCTTGAGACTCAGTAAAGAGCTCCATTTCTTCACCTTCAACTTATCTGATTCATCAGTACTGATTTCCTCCTTTGGCTTCAAGCAAATCTCTTGAATCAAATTCCTGAATAATTGCCCAGTAGTTGTCTAGAAGGGCTGTGCATCTCTACCCAGCACATCCTGTCCTCTTGAATGGCCATGCCCTTAGGCAATGTGTTAGGGATATCTTGTGCTGCTGCATCTGAAGACTTCTAATACTGCTTTTAATTTCTGTGCTCTCTGTATAAAGCATCCCTTTGGAATCACATTCCAGGTTATTTCAGGAAGTGATGCTCTCCTGCTCATACCACACTCCAATCCAGTCCTGGTAGCCCTAGCAAAAAGCTGTCCAGTTGCACAGGATGAGCTTTGAAATGTTGATCATTCATGAGTGACCCTTTCTGGAGAGCTTTCACTGTGCAGGAGGAGATTAAAGTAAACATCCAGACCAAATTCCAGCTCAGGTGGTAGCAGTCCCCATGTCTAACTGTCCTCCTGCCCTTTCAGTCAGATTTGTCATTATTCCATGATATACTTGCGGGCAGTGATTTACCAACCAGTCCTCTGGGCTCCCATCTCCAAACCTGGCTGTCAGGCACAGCTGTAAGTGCTGGCAGGCAGTCAAGGACTAAAGATGAAAACCAAGGCAGCCTGGAGCCAAGGATGACCTCTCCAGCATCCAGAGCCTCCTCTGCAAGGTCCTCACAGGTTCAGCCTCATCACTTCCAGCTCCTCGAAAGCTGTGAGGAGTGCACGACAGGAATATATGAAAAAACAGAGAACAGCCAGACACTATTATTTATCCATTCGCTGTCTAAACTTACTTCAAGATAAAAAGGAGTTGATTGACATGAGAGCAGGAGGCAGAGCACACGGAAACCTCCTGGTCCCAGGGGACACCTGCTGCGGCTGCTCTCTGGGGCAGGGCTGAAGCAAACGCCTTTCTCTCCTTGTCAATCATGGTATTCCTTTCCTTTGGCAGAAATTACATTTCCCAGCTATTACATTTTTCAGATACTTTTCAGATATTACATTTTTCTGATATTATATTTGTCAGAGATGATATTTTGCAGAGCTGATACTTCGATGCAACACTCCTATTCCTGAAAATTATTCTCTGTCAGTGGTGGGACGCTGGAGCTGTTGTACAGGAAAAAAGGGGGGAAAAAAAAAGCCAGGGGAGCAAGATCTCTGCAGGGACACACAGCCGAGACTGTCTAGTCACAGAAGTGTGCTTGGATGCTGGAATATTTAATGTCAAGCATCCTAGGAACTGAGGATATATAAAATGACACAGATCTTGAGGAACTGCAACTTTCTCCCTTTTTTATTTTCTTCATTCTGAAACATGTCAGTCTGCCATTATATCCTCTCCTTTCCCTCCTGCAAAGACTCCCTGCTCTATTCTCCAGTCCTCCACTTGCTCCCACACAGGACCTGTGAACTGTATAGGCATTAAGGGGGATACAGGTTTTGGAAAGTGTTTCCGTGTCCCAGATTTCAGGAAGGTGAGCAGCCTTAAAACATCCCTCTCCTTTACCATATTTATCTCCCCACGGAGGTGCTCAAAGCAGCCATGGGCAGCATGATCCTGACAGGTGCCTTGTTCCTGGAGATGCCTTTGGCACTCTGCTCTACTTCTCGGGGCTGATGTCATCTTATTGTCGCCCCAGGCTTGGACCCACAATTTGCACTGTTATTTGCTCTGCAGTGCTTGTGGACAAGAGCTCTGGTTTTGTTCACTGTAGCAGTGTAAAACCTTGATCTTCTCCTAAAAGTCCTTTAATTAAGAAGTGTCAGGATGAGTTGGAATAATACAGCTATATCTGGGGCTGACAGAAGGAGGAAGCACAGCTGAGATGTATCCATTTTTGTTGCCGATCCCAAACTGATGATGGAGCAGTTACTGCACAGAGCCTGTTGTTGAAGGAGCTTTGAGAAACCCAGAACAGAGGGGTTTAGCCTCTAATTTGGTCTTGGCTGGCAGATAGGACCAAAGGCATTTCTGCCTTTCCCTTTGAGAACTTAGGCAGTCTCTGCTGACTGACATGCAGCCAGAAATAGGATTGTCTGTTGGTGCCCAATACCCAGGGCCATTTCTTAGGGCTTGAGGCTTCAGCAGGAGCTGAAAAATATCTCCATGTCCTAAATGATTACCAGAAACAAGAGAAGGAGGAATAAGATTAGGATACCGAGGGAGAAACAGGGTAGTGTTACATTGCTAAAGATCTATAACATATATGTATATATAGCATATAGATAGCGTATACAGCATATAGAAGGAACTATCTGAATAGCCTGTTGAAAGATTTTAGGATTATCCAGAGGGATCTGGACAAGCTTGAGAAATGGGCCCGTGGAAATCTCATGAGGTTTAGTAAGACCAAGTGCAACGTGCTGCACCTGGGTCAGGGCAACTCCTACTATCAATACAGGCTGGGAATGAACAGACCAAGAGCAGCCCTGCTAGGAAGAAAGATGGAGAGGGAGTTTTTACAAGGGCATGGAGTGACAGACAAGAGGGAATGGCTTCAAACTGACAGAGAGTAGGTTTAGATTAGATATTAGTACAAAATTCTTCCCCAAGAGAGTGGTGAGGGACTGGCACAGATTGCCCAGAGAAGTTGTGGCTGCCCCATCCCTGGAAGTGTTCAAGGCCAGGTTGGAAGCCCTGGTCTAGTGGAAGGTGTCCCTGTCCATGGCAGGGGGTTGGAACAAGATGATCTTTAAGGTCCCTTCCAACCCAAACTATTCTGTGATTCTGTGATTCTATGATTTGATTTGTATGTAGCAAGAGTGTGATAAAACAATTCCCACAAGTTATAGGCTCAGTGTCTGCTTTTTTTGTAGCCATTTATAGATCTGTGGTAAATTCTTTGGCTTACTACTAAATGTTTGTACTATCTGTAGTCAGGTGCACAGTTCTTGGCTGGCACTATTAATATAAAGAACATTTCACTCTCCTTGGCAGGGGGAGTTGGAACTAGATGATATTTAAGGTCCTTTCCAACCCAAAGCCTTTTAGGATTCTGTGATTGCTGTTTCTCCTCACCTACCCAGTACAGGCAAGAAAACAAGGATAAAGCTGTAAGGGAGTTTGTGATGGATCCTGTGAGATGGCCAGCCCCTGTCCCTGGTGGGCCTGGGCTTGCTCTGGATGTGTAAAAATGATCCATACCAAGCATTGCAGCTTCCATGTCCTTGCCATGGGAGAAAGGAGGGAAGGCAGCACTGCCAAGATCTCCCACAGCAGAAAAGGAGCAGGTGGAGCCCTCAACCCACAGCATTGCAGGAGTTGAGGTCCTACAAACCCCCATCAGTCTTTGTCAGATCCTGTACAACGCTGCTCCTCTCATCCTTCCAATGAGTATGACCTTGCCGAGTGCATTCCCCATTCCAGCAATATTTTTAGGCACTTGCTGGGAAGTAGCCAATGCTGACTCAAGAGCTTTCCAGTCATGAACTACAAAAACTCAGACCCTATAGAAAAAGACAGGGAAGAGTTAGAAACATGTTACTGGAAAAAAAACCTGGGAGATAAATTTATCCCAGGGAGAAAGGGCATGTATGAAACCTCCAGCTACTTCAACTCTGCTGGTGCCGTTCAGGGAAAGGAAATAAAAAACAATGGCTGTGTCCATAAATAGGCCCAGGCAGGGGTTTAAGAGGACACAGATTGCCTAATAAATCTTTCCATATTTCTAATCTGCCCCGGCTGACTCAGATTACATTACTGAAATGCCACAATTGCTAAGCATTAGCAAGTGATAAGAACACTTTTACCACCGACCAGACAAGTTGTAATTATGCTGCGTCCTTTTCCTCTCCTGTTTATTGTAGCTCTAACAGACTCTCCAAGATCCTTCCTCTGTTTAAATAAGAACCAAAAATGGCACAAGGCAATAAAGCAAAGTGACAGAAAACATAGGAGACAAGTCCACAGCTGCCGTGTTTTATTAAAGGCTTTTCTTAATGACAGGATGTTACAAAGTGTTACATTAAGATGCGCAAGATGCAAAGAGATGGTACCTTTCAAGCTTGATGATTCCAGGAGGAACTTTTCAAAGGTTCAGTGTCCCAGTCTTGAGGAAAACAGTTTTACAGAGCTACATCAAATGATGTTTGGCTTCGTGGCAGCTCAAAAGAGTTCACCTGATGCAGCAGTGTAAGCTATGGACATGCTGGGATAGCAGACCTTGGGAGAAAAATCAAATTGTCTTTGGTAGGCAGGGTTGGATGGAAGGGTGTCTGTTAAAGAGGCAGCTTCCTCTTTCCCCTCCCGTTGTAACTCCCCACGTCTCTCTTGCAGATGGACTGGCCGCTTTCCGTGCTTTCCTGAAGACTGAGTTCAGTGAGGAAAACCTGGAGTTCTGGCTCGCCTGCGAGGACTTCAAGAAGACCCGCTCAGCAGCCAAGCTGGCTGCCAAGGCCCAGAGGATCTTTGAGGAGTTCATCGACGTGCAGGCTCCACGAGAGGTGAGAGGGTATTCCAGCACCCTGGGCTGGCACGGCATCCCTGCGCCGAGGGGAGCAGGTCCATCTCCCCCACATGGGACCTGTGGGGTGCCAGGGAGCCCTCCCTCCTTCCTTCCCCTCCCAGAGGTGATGGTGATGACTGGATAAGGAGGGTGGCACTGCCATCCTGGCTGCTGCAGCTGCCTCTGCTCATGGTGACTCATTCCCAGTGAGGGCAACCACTTCGATGATACTAAATTAGTCACAGCCAGAGAGTTCACCGGCAGCCTCAACCTACATTTCCTAACCTCTTCCAGCTTCCTAGAAGCATTTCACCTTGCTCCTCTCATTTACTATCAATCCTCGAGCAGGCTATTGGGCTCATTCCTCACAGGACACTTTGCATAGAATAATCCCAGGAATGACTAACGTGTTGACTCTCCAGGGAGAAGTGTTTATCTGCTGACTAACTCCCAACTCAATTAGACCTCCTGAAAGACGCGAACAATAACTCCGAGCTGAACAAAAAGTGCAGTCACAACGCAGAGCCTGGAATTGTTAAGTCCTCTTTCAAGTGCTGACAGGCAGATGCAGCTGTCAGATCCTGTGTCGTGATGCTGGGTTGTGTTATTGTACTCATAACACAGCCACGAGGGCCTCACTGCACTTACTGCCTCTGCTCCACTGCACGGGTGCTTGGCACAATCCAGGTGCCCACGAGGGGAGCCCCTAAAAGGGGCTCATTTTACTCTATTTTTGGGCTAGGAAGGCTATTGCAAGACCACTGAGGAGGACCCAGATTTACACCAAAGTGTGTGGGTCTCAGGGAATGCTTCAATGCCCACTGCTCTCCGTTACTGTCTTCCTGCTGTTATTCATGGAGCTGGGTGAGATTTTAAGGACTGTAGGGCTGAATCTTGATTACAAATGTAGAGTACAGGTAGGATGGGGGCTCTCCTATAATTTGGTCCAGTGAAATTTCCTTAACACTGTTATAATTTTGGCATGCTGGAATGTGAAATGACCCTTAAGTGATGCAGAGAGTTAATCTGTATTGCTGTCACCCACAATAATGCAGACAGCTTTGCTTTCCAGGCTCCTTTAAGTTTGGACACTGGGTTAGTAACAACAAATACCAACTTTTCAGCCGTTTTTTTCCAAACAATAACCCTAACAAATGCTGATTGCTTTGCTAGGGAAAGAAAACAGGAAAACTCCCTTAGCTGGCTTTGCAAACAAAAGGCAGTCATAACATTGGGGTGGTTTATTTTCTTAAGCCTCTGCTCCAGATATTGTAACACTAAGCTGTTATGGGAAAAATCAAACAATTTATTTTAGATCAACAGAGTTTGAAAGCATTTAATAAGAATGTACTAATAGTTTAACCCCAGTTAAAAGTTCATTCAGCTGTATATCAGGCATTGCAAAGAATAAAGGGAATAGAGAAACCATGGTTGGCATGAGAGAGGTTAGGCTGAGTCAGCACTTTTGGATGACGTGCTGCATAAGAGTCTGAATAAAAGTAATTTGACTTCAGAAGTGCTCAGATCACTATAAATCCAGTTCAACTTTTCCAGGCTTGGGGCAGGATTCATACCACTGGATCACTAAACTCTGCAGACTTGTGGGGGCTGCTTACGCCCGGGTGAGGGTGGGACCTTGGTTCTGCTGCTGTTTTACTGCCACGGCTGAGAGGGAATGTGCCATTTGAAGGAGGCAAACTGGTCACTCAGTACCAAACTCTCTTCTGCTACTTTTCCCAGGTGAACATAGACTTCCAGACACGGGAGCTGACAAGAAGAAATGTGCAGGAGCCCTCCCTCTCCTGCTTTGACCAAGCTCAGGGGAAGGTGCACAGCCTGATGGAGAAAGACTCATATCCCAGGTTCCTGAGATCCAAAATTTACACAGACCTGCTGTCTCAAACCCAGAGGAGGCTCAGCTAGAGCAGCTGTGGGGCCCTCAGAAACCATGTGCTTCCCACAACAGCCAAAACCCATGTCTAAATGTGAAAATTTCTTGGTGTTAAAAGCAGTGGGAATGAGAAAAGAGGGAGAAGGGGAAGAGGAGGCTTCCAGATCATGATCCAGGCACGGTATTAAGACTCTTTGACTTTCTGTACTTTTTTTTTTTGGTTAGCAGTAGCACCTTGCAGTTGTTGCCTCCCTCTAGCACAAACCCACAATCCTCTCTAGTCACAGGGTCATCTGTTGGGAAGGCAGGTTTCCTTTAAAATTACTGCATTGGTTTGTGTGTAAATAACACCATGGCACCTTTCCATCCTTCCAGACATCTCCCTGGCTCTCACCTCTCCCCTGTGCTTGGAAGGGCCCTAAAGGCAGTTCTGACTCTTGTGAAGCCATGTCCAGCCCAAAGCAGTGTCTCCCACACTGGCTGCTGGGGTCTGGACCCAGAGACCAAGGGGAGGGAGAGAGAAGGAGAAGGCACATGATTCATGCTGCTTCTCAGTGCTGAAACCATCAGCAAACTCAGCTCACCTTTCGATTTTGGTTGCACACCTTATGACACCAGCTGCTACCCTGTCACAGCCCCTTACCTTTCAGGGATGGAGACCAAGAGTTGTTTTCCATAGGACTGCCAAGGAGCTGAGATTTTCTCATGAGGAAGGTAATCCCAAAAGCTCTTGCTGGATGTGGTCAGACAAGTCTTCTAGTGCGACTGATTGTTTTTCATTAATATTATTTATTTGTGCTGTAGCTCAGCCTCAGGACCCCAGTCATCGTTCAGGCTTCGTTGTGTTGGGCACTGTACCAAAACCTAACACGAAGAGGCTCCTGGCTGCCACAGACTTTAACAGGATTGGTGGCTTCTCAGGAATGATCTGTCAGCTGTTGGGAGAGAGTCAAGAGAAAGAATGTCCCCCTGCCCCTTGCTGAGATGTAAGAGAAGCACAAGACCTGTCTGCTATGGTAGATGGTATTTTTCATGTAGTACCTGACCAGTGCATGGCAACATGAAAAATCACAATTATATTTTTATTATTCACTGATTATTGACTGTTGTTACCTACCAATTGTCCACTGTGGGTTCAATGCCAACTACTAAAGGCACAGACCCTGCTGCATGGTGCTTGTTTCAAACAGGATAGAGGGAAGCATGGAGTGAGCAGGACGGGTATCCAAGTGTGAGGTGTCCTTTGGCCCTATTCCCACAGCCTGGACAGCCACTGCAGGAGAAGACTCTGTGCAGATGTCAGTGGTGTAGCACCTCCTCTGTGCTGTGCAATAATTCCTACCATCTGATGGCCCCATTTCCACGGCATTGCCGTTCCAGCTTGTTGGATTCTTGCAATATTTTCTAGTGGAGAAGCAGACAGCCTGTCTGTGGATTTGAGCCTACAGACCAGAGGTCTGTTTTCTTAATTTTATGAAGGCCTGGAAAGTGACCCCATGGATCTTTTCCTTCTCTCCATCATCGACAGAGCAGAGGCTTTAAACCTCTGCTCTATATGAGGGTGGTGGGTAGATTGGATACATCAGAAAGCTGCTGATAAAGATTTAGTGTAGTGTGGTGTAAACTAGGTAGAGTGAATTCTAAAGCTAAGCATGATGTGTTTGGAATGAGATACAAAAAGCCTGCTTGGATATTAAAAATTACTGTCCGTGAACTAGGTAGGAAACAATTTTTGAGGCTCTCTGTAAGGATACTGTGCAGGACATTAGAACAAATAGCTTCAGGAGCAAGATAGAGGTGGTAAGCATGTTTGGTTTATTTGGAGGTGTGTGGTCTCTAAGACACTAAAATCCAGATACGGTACAATTGCAAATTTTATGTTCAGTAGGGAAACCTGCTTTTCAGTACCTGTTCAGTCAGCAACAGAATTCTCCAGGTCCTTGGTAGGCAAATATCATCTCCAGTTAACTTTCCCTGAGGACTGGCCAGAAAGAGCAGCATGCTCTGGCGTCCTGGCCAGTGTTCTAAGCTGTCCTCTGCCCCTGCAAGGACACCTGAGGAGCAGGGGTTGGAGTGTGGTGAGAGATGTGGCATTCTGCAGCCACACTCAGGCTCAGTGGCACAACTTTTGGAATTGTTGAGGTACGTGATGTCCCTAATGTTGTGTGTCCAGAGAGACAATGCTCAAGGTCTGGGTGTTGCTTTGCAAATTTGATTGTTAGTGGCTTCAGGCAAAGGTCTGTGCTGCTTGTTAGAAAGTGGGAGCAATGAGAGATGTCTGAAAAATGCCCTGGATTTGCCATGATTTATCTAAGGGGTCTGTGTTGTGCAATAGTTCCAACAGCCCAAAGCTTTATGGCAAACAAGATACTTGGCAAAGAAGGCGTAGTGGCACAGGTGTCTGGGAAAACCTGTGCAATGCTGTGGGAGGAATCAAAGATGGAAGGAAAGGATATACAGCTGTGCATCCAGTGGCTGTCCCTGGTGGTATCCGGGCCATAGGAAGTGGAGCAGAGTCACATCACCTATACAGCCCCCTCCTGACCCAGGGGGTGAGGGCAAACCCCCCAATGTTGTGGTGAAACACTCTCAGGGCTTGACCTGCAAGGGAGGATTCAAAGCTTCCCTCACCGACGGTGAGGAGAGACTGGAAGAACTGCCCTTTCCAAGAGACACTGTCTAATACACCTGTGTAACACAGGATGGACTGGGATCTCTCAGGGGCACAGGCTGCTTTGGCTGAAATAATTCCCCTTGAGGTGGCCTGTGGCCCCAGTTGTACCCAGTGTCACTGCAACTGGTGATCCCACTGCTGCCAAACGGCAGCTCTGCTTCCTGACACTGTGGCATCACATGAGTCCTGCAAGGGGTGAAGAGGCCACCTTGTCTGGCCCTGCCTTCCTCACTTTCAGCCTTCTCTCACCTGCACATGCAAAAAGCATCCCAGCACTGCCCAGGATGCGAGAGCCAGCAGCAGGAGGCTTATGCAGTCACAGCTTTTAAAGAGAAGACAGAAGGCCGTATTAACTGCCTTGTGGTACTTCTCTACAAGCCCCTGACAGACCTCCTGAGTGGGCTTGGATGGTGCTGATCTCTAGTGCCAGCTGATGCACCCCAGATGAGGCTCTGCGGCAAAGCCCCCCACGGTGGGGAGGGTCACAGATACAGCCAGGAAAGGAGGACACAGCAGAAACAAGATGTTTGTGCCAAGGAATGGGAGTGAGGACAACCCCCAGGCTTCCCTGATGGCTACAAGAGCTGGTCCTGTTCAGAGTGTGACTCCAGGAGGTAACATCTCTCCACAAGCTGCTCCAGTGTTGGTGCTGTTGTCCTTTCAGTTTATGTCAGAACTCATGAGGAAACTCCAAAGCAGCCAACACCCTGCAAATCCAAGCTCCCCACTCTCCTCCATCAGCCTGGAAAATTGCTTTGAGTGGGAGTATCCAGAGATGCCATTGCTGCAGTGGTGACAGGAGCTGTAATCACACTGGCTGGTGTAGGAGAAGTGTTTTGCCCATTAAAGTTGTGCCAGATAACATCCTCCACGGGAAACATCATCCTAGAGCCCAGAGTGGAGCAGAAGTATTGTCTGAGGCATACGAGTCTATCACAGTTATTTTTGTTGCTGCTCTTACAGTTCGCCTCTCTTGAAGGAAAGCAGACTAGTTATTTAAAGCAAAACTATATTTTTCCTAAACAAAAAATTGGCACCAGCTGCTTCTTTTATGCCAGATGTCAGTCTGAAGTGAATTAAAATAGACAGCCTATGGCTCTTCCCCTTAAACCAGGGGCTGATCAAGGAAATAATGACTGAACCAAAGCTTCAGAAAGCACTGAGTGATGACTAATCCCTATCAAGGACAAATATCCTATCTTTGATTCATCTCTTCCTCATGTGAAAGGGATATTCATAACTTAGAAACCCCATTTCTCTTCTCCATAAGCCCACACCTTCAAAATTTTCCTCATGTTCCAAGTAATGTCAGACAGAGTGTGCCATCATAAGAAGACAAGGGAAAAAAATTGGTTCACTCAGCTCTTTTTATTCTGTTTGCTGGTACATATCCAGTCAGCTCCCAAGTCCCTTGACAGCAAAAGGGAAAAAGAGCGTACAAATCTCCTTTCTCTTTTCTATAACCTTCAGGTGGAGTTAACTCCAGGATGGAGATGCAGAATCTCAATCTACTTTAAGATTCTCTTGCTTTGGCCCATCAGCCAGGCTTGGGATGATTTCCATCACTTTTAGTGGACTCATTAATGTACAGAGGGGTCCCTGTCCTCACGCTGGGGGGGTGTGAAGGGCAAAGTCTCGCTGGTCTAAGCAGGGGAGGAAAATCTGTGTGTGTGTCTGCGGGTGTGGGTGGGTGAGAGTGCATGTGACTTCATGTGTATCTTATTTAGTGTCCTCTACTACAGAAGCTTTTCTGAGACATAGATGTGCATGTTAAAATAGGAGAATTAGGCACAAATGACATAAAATGAGATTTTTTAGCCAGTGTTGTGTTTGCCTTGTGTGTGAGTTTGACTAGTAGTAAGAGATGTAAAACTCTGCTAGGCTTCCAGTTACCCATAAGAGCACATGTATCAAACTGAACTGAATGTTCACTGATAGACACAAAACCAAAATGTTTACAGCATTCAGAGCAATAGCAAAGCATACCTCACGCCAGTCCTGGAGTGCCTCTCACCCATCAGTGCAAGCTCTCCCCTTCCTTGGGGCCTCTTGCTTCTCCCTTCAAAGCCCTCTCTCCTTGTCTGTCCTATCCTGGGGGTCTTCCCTCCTCCTTATGCTTTCCTCCCTGAAGTTCTCCAAGCACCTTTCCCTCCACCAGCACTGTTTGTCCCCATATATCTGAGCCTGGGTCTCCCATAACTCCTCCCATGCCTTCCTGTTTCCCTACACTCCATCCCCATCTAGCCCTTATCTCTTCTTTACCTTTTCCTTCCCCAGAGACTTGTCTCTGGCCATGCCACCTCCCTCCTACACACCTCCCACTGTCACTATAAAGCTCCTAGTAGCTGTTCCTTGCCCATTATGTAAGAACAAAACGTTTCACGTAATTTCTGCATTATCTTTCATTCCTGGGGCTGCTGCAGTTGTCTCTTTCCTTGGTGCTGTGTTCCCTCCAGCATCGTAGCATTATATCCCAGAACTGCAATTAAAGTCCATTTTGCTGCTAGAACAGAATGCTTTTCTCTACTGTGCTCCCCCTGGGCTTTGCAGAGGCTCGTCTTGTCCCCACCAATTTGTCTTCCTTCTTCTTCCATCCACATTCCACGTGCTGTGCTTGTGGTAGGAGCTGGCTGGTGGAGAGGGCAGCCGTGCTGTGCAGAGGCAGTGGCTGCATGAGCAGGGTCACAGCTGGGCTTCCCCTTGGCTTTCTGGTACATAAAACTGGTGTCAATAAAGGTGTTTGTATTGTACTTGCTTGGTAAAGTCAGTTGTTCTGCTCTGTGCCTCCTCTTGGTTTTACAGGAGGGATGTATCTCTAATTTGAGACTACTCCCTAAACTCAACAGCAGTTCAGGGAACTGAGAGCATTGGAGAGAGGAGGCAGAAGGGAATGAGTTTGTTATCAAAAAACTCAAACATTTCTGGCACAGAATTACAGAAGAAAAGGCAGTGTCTGCTTCTGGAGGGACCTAGTGTACCAGGGAGCTACGGGGCCAGTTGTGGAGTGGATTGTTTGTCTCAAGTAGCCCCTCAGCTCCCAGTTTGCATCATGTGCTGCGTGCCCCAGGCTGGATCTAAAACATGACAGATGAGGAGCTGCTCAGCTTTGCATTTACAACACAGATAACAGCGTTATCCTAAGAGAAATGTCTTCATGTTGCTCTATCAGTGCCTGCAGTCACCAGCTAAAAAGCAAGGAGGGGAAGGAGGCACCTTCTGTTGTGGTTACTCATGCAGATCTCTGCGGGATTACTGGCAATGAAGGGAGCAGGGTACAAGTACATCCTGGGGTGGATCCCCCTTCCTTAAAAAACACGATTGAAGATCTCCTCCCCTTATAATCTCTCCCCCTTCTCCTCTACAAGCAATCCAAATCGGACACACAGAGTTCAGATTTGTCTTTAAGCTCTTTGGCACCTCCACCTTTGGTGGGATGGCAGTGTCCCACTGGTAGGAAGGGGCCTTGAGGACCCCACTCCAAACCCAAGCGTCAAATAAGACTGTTTTAGGTAATAAAGATGTCTTGTTCCTGTGGAAACACACTTATGGGTGGCTCAGAAGAGACTGAGGATAGCAGTACTGTATGGGGTGAACTCAGAAGTGAGCCACCAGGTAGAAAGACCAGCTCAAAAGAGCTTCCCTGTGCCACATTTTTATTTTAATGAGATCCTGATGCTGCAGCTGCCTCTGCAGTGTCTGGGTGCTGCTGGTGTGGGTAGATAACAGCAGGAGCCGTTTGGGCAGGCCATGCAGGCTGTTCAGTCTGATCCCTTCCCACTCAGGGAAAGGCATGGGCTCGGGTTCCGTCTGACCTTCCCTCTGCATTAGCTGCTTGTTTTCTAGGCTCACCTTCCCTGTGAGGCTGGAGAAGTTCCTCGTGTCACCACATTGTGAAGTGTTACTCACCTGTACTGTATAGAGACCGTGAGGACGTAATAAACAGCCTGAGACTATTTGTTCTCTGCCTGAGTGTCTGAAAAGGTGCGAGTCGAGCACGTTTTCCTGTCTGCAAAGTGGGAACTGAGAGCCTGGGGATGGAGAGGTGTCTCCTAGCAGAATTGCTGAGGAGAAAAAGAATGGGACAAGCTGATGCCTCCTCAGATCCTGGTTTCAAGAGGGAATATGACTAAGCAGTCAGTCTGCTCTGTTGAAGCGATTAAGAACCAGGCTCCCTGGAGGTACAGTTTGGGGACATGAGTCAGAAATGTGTCAGTAGGACCTGGGAGACTACAGGGAAGGAAAATCTGAAGAGCCTTCCAGCAGTGCATTGCTGTCCTTTTCTGGGTACACCCCATTGCAGCCTCTGATGGATTGTCCACCCCAAACCCCAAATCCAATCTGCAGGACCTTCCAGAAGGGGATGGGCCCTTTCCCAGCTGGGAACATGGCAGAGGGACATAGGGCTGCAAAGGCAGCTGCTTGGGAGAGCCCTGACCACCTCCAATACACATCCTGCCTTCAGGCAGGGAGAGGAGGTGATGGCTCCAGAGCAAATGCTCTCTATTAATCCACAAACAAACAGACAGAAGTGGCAGAGTTGGGGCATCAGCTGCTCTGTGGTGGCATGGCTCCCATCTACCTCTCTGTCAGCCTTTCCATCACACTCCCTCTCTGCCAGACATAAAAACAAATGCCAAGTCTGTTCCCTGCACCAGGACCAGCAGTGGGGGATGCACAAGCAAGGTCTCTCGAAAAAGGGATCAGTGTGGATGGATCAAGCATGACTGGGTCACAAAGAACAAACAACAAATGAAGGGCTTTCTCTAGTCCACAAAAAGCAGCCCTGGCCTCCAGCAGGCAGCTCATATCCAGGCCTGAGCTTGATTCATCCTTACGGGATAAGCTGAGGAGAGACAAGACAGGCTACGAGGTACTGACCAGTCATGGGCCAGTTTAGGGTGTCTGGAGGAGCCTGGGCTTGCTGGAGGAGGGTCAGGCAGCAGCTAAGGGCAATCCCAGGTAATAAAGGGGGAAGGGAAGGCATTAGTAGGGGCAGAGCAGATCGGGGGAGGTTGAGTGTTAGAAAATTCCATGGTGCGAGATCTGCTGCAGAAACCCTCTTGGGGCTTCAGTGGAGAATGGCTGAGGACAAGCAGATCATCTCCTGAGCAGGTCTGGCCAGCAAGCAAAAGCAGAGACCTGGACCCTATCCAGCCCTGGGCACACAGAGGGCACTCCTTGCCTGCAAAAGGTGAGTGTTTGCTCCATGGTCTGCACGGGGTTTCATTTAAAAACAAAAATTAAACAACCTTATTTTTCTCTGGAAATGGGTGCAGTGGAATTTATCAGTCCCTCTGGTTTCTTTCTATCCCCCTTTCTTTTTCCCTAAATCCCTTCTTTTATTGTTTTTCCTTTTCATCTGCTGCTTCTTCCCTCTAAAACTGTCTCTGAGCCAAACCAATTTGAATGCATCCAAGGAAGGCTCTGCTATTAGAGCTGCTCTGTCTCTCCTCTTAGTTAGGATATATTTAGCCATCATATTTAGCTTTCTTTTTCCTGGCAGTTCAGTGGCTTTAAAAAGCAGGTGCCGGGAACGGAAAGAGAAGATTAAGAGTACATGCTGTCAGCTACCTCTCCCTGTGCAGCTGTGTAAAGTGAGCACGTGAGCAGAGTGGATAACAGCTGCCCCCTTGAAAACACTCATTTGTAATTCTAATTTTTTTTAATTTTTTTTTTTTTTAAATTTCAATAATCTCTTTCCGCACTGCCACAAATTTCCAGAGCAGCTATTTCCTCTCACGTGCCGCATGTCCGCTGGGAATCAATTAAGCACCCCATGGGTTTGGGGCGAGGGATGCCAAGGGGTGAGGGATGCCAAGGGACCAGTGCTCCTGCCTGCATGGGCAGCTGCCTGTCCTGTGATGGGGAAGGCATGGATGGAGCCAGGCTCACCTGCAACCACGTGGATGTAACGCCCCACAGCAGCCCCTGCCTGTTCCTGTCTCATAAGTTGTGCCCAAGGCAAGGCCCAGTTGCAATCTGTCTCCTTGGGGGGACTCCTGCAAACACCCTGTTGCTGTCTCAGCCTTGGCAGCTTCCCCGGTCCTTCCTGGCACGATCATAGAATTGTTTAGGTTGGAAAAGACCTCTAAGATCATCGAGTCCAACCATTAACCCAGCACTGCCAAGCCCACCACTAAAGCACATGCCCATCACCAGGTTCTGAGTGATGCTGTGCTCCTGATTGCACAGCAGCAACTTTCATGACACCAGCACCTCATTCCTTATCTCCTTTACCTACATCTCTCCTTAAATGCATCCAGAGCTTAACAACAGCTTGCAGGTGGAAAAATGGGCTGTGCAACACGAGCAGGGCCTTTAAGCCTCCCATTTCTCTTTGCGTTCACCATCTCCCCCATTTCGTGCAGGCTCCACAGGCTTCTGGCAGGCTCTGCTGAAGGGATGCAGGGAGTGTGTAGTGCTGTGTCCAGGTTTTACCATTCCTGATTGTCACCTCTCTGGATACCCACTGGTTTAGGAGAAATGGGGTGTCAGGCTCCTTGGTGAGCCTGCTTGGCTCACACCTTCTGTGATGTAGTGAGACCTCAGCAGCATGGCTTACCCCGGCTCTTCCTCTCCTCCTCCTCCCTACCTTCTCTTCCCATCCATTGCTGTATCTTCCTCTTCTTATTCCACTCAAACAATATAAAAATACCTTATACTATAAACTCTCATTGGAGCCTGACTGTGCATTGGGGCACATGTACAAGGGTGCCCTCCACCCTGTCACCAGTCCCTTCTTGTTTCCCTATTTCCACCTCAATTGTGTAGTTTTGGGGCTGAAACCTTTATTTTCCTATTTTTTGAGTCTACTGGTGCTTTGCAAATACTAACCCAGAAACACCAGCAGCAATACCTGGTGCTCAGAGGTTGTGTGTTTTGTTTCTGAGGGTGAAGCCAGTCCCCCCAGAGCACCCTGCCTGGTTTTCCAGGACCTCTCTAGTGGAAATAAACTCTGAGAGGGCTGGTCCCCATGGATGAGAGGCAGGCTTCATGCCAGCAAGGCTGTGGCACGGTTATGGGAAGGGAGCCTGGCCCCAGGCGTTGCGACACAGATGAGTTTTTTTGTGTTCCTAAACAAGGACTGATAATACAGGCAACTGAGCCAGAGCTGCGGGAGGCTGCTAAGCTAAATGAGACAGGAAGGACGTAATTAAATTAGACACAGAGCGGCATAAAGACATCTGAGCACACATACATCGCTGGGATGAGAGCCTATTGCATAATCCTGCTGAAGAGCCCTGCAATATAAACCTTCTCACCTAATGCATCCCATGCTGGTGAGCTACCTGTCCTGGAATACCATCTCCCACCTCATTGAAGGGGAGAGGCAAAAAAGCTGCCCCGAGGGAGCAGAGGTGCCAGCCAGGTGCTGGCTTGTGCAGGGGGCTGTGGCAGAGCAGGTGGAGGGTCTGCCCCAGGCTTGGTGGGGAGGACATTGCTGGAAGAGCCCAATTCCTCTCCTGTGCCTGGGCTCAGACCTGCATATGTGGTTCTGGCACTGCCATGTCCCAGAGCCATGCCCTGCTTCAAACACCCCAGTGTGGGACCTCCGTTGTGAGCATGGCATTTCCTATGGCTTTGTGCATCTTCTGGCTGAGCCACTGTGGTGCCCAAAAAGACATACCCTTTAACTGACTTTTTCCCTCCCACTGAGGTTTTACAGAGCTCTCTGTCCCACACAGGAACTTGCAAGGACCAAGCTCCCACCACAGGTGGTTCCTCACCTCTGCCTTGCCATCAGCTTTGCCTCACCTGAGCCAAGAGCTTCAAAAGCTGCTACAAGGGACAAAGTAAAACCACACACACACTTGTTCAACATGTTATGGGGAAAAGCAGTGGAGACACATGGACTGAATGCAGCAAAGCAGAGTTTTGGCAGGCTGTAATCTCAAGGCAGAGATGTGCAGTTTCTCCTCTCTGGCTCACATCCCCCATGATCCTTTCCCATTGCTGTTGCTGCCATCCTGGCTGTGTTTTTGCCATACAGTTACTTTTCCCTGGCTGCTTCAAGCAACACATGGCTCCCAGCACAGTGGCTTTGCTGGGTACCATGGACTCGCTGCCAGAAATCATCCACCCCGTGTGCCTGTAACACATGTGCAGCCTCCTGGAGGTTTTCTTCTGGCATAACCTGATCTGAGGATGCCTCAAACACCAGGGAGAGTAACCAGAACAACCTGCAGATCGGCAGCTGGGAGAATGGGCTGCAGTTTTAAAGGGGAAAAGGAGAGAGATGAAATCCTGCTTAACACCAGACATGCCCCAAAATGACGAGGTAGAACAACCCCAGGGCACTGCTGAGCACTGCATCTGTGTGGAAAACCAGGGAGGAGACAGAGATGCAGGTGATGAAGGAGAAGGGACATTGCCACCCCAAACCCACAGCTATTGGTCACCTGCTGCAGCTGGGAGGTGAGTGCCAACATGCTTTAGCAGGGGGTTGGACTGGATGATCTCCAGAGGTCCCTTCCAACTCGAGACTTATGTGATTCTGTGAAATACCTGGGTGTGACCCCCTCCTGTGGCTACCAGGAGCCCATGCCCATGTGAGCATGGCACTGCCACTGCGACACCAGTGCTCCCAGCATGGTGGTGAACTGGGCTGGAGCACCACGCTGAGGTGGCCAAGCACTTCCAAAACCTGTGGTAGGTCAAGTGATGTCCACTCTGTGGGCATGCACAGACCTTCTTGGTGTCTACAGAGGCAAAGGCAATCTTACAGCCCTCTCACCTCTCCTCTTCCCCTTCTTTCTTTAAATCCACAGCAAGGATCACAACTCTAACCATGGTTTTAAGGCACAGAGAAGGCATGAATAAGAGCTTTGTGTAGCTCCATTTATCTGCAGCTGAATATCTACTAACCAAGAAGGCTTAAACTTGATTATTTGAGAGGAAAAAAACAACAACAGAGCTATCAGGAAAGAGGCTGCTCTTGCTTCAAAGACAAGAC